AATCATATTAGGGGCATCATGCATGAGGAAAAATACGCAAGTGATCCTAGAAACAATATTACAAAGCTGTAACCGAAAGACGCTTCTAAGTATAACAATAGAGTAAATAAATATCTTAACCAAAAAAAAAAAGTTTGTCAAGAATAATAATTGTTCATAATAACTTATTCAATAAATCATACAACCACATTCGTGATACACAGAAAAGTGAGTAGAAGTGATGGCATTCGTTCTGCGCGTACCCGGCGTCTAGTGGCTGCGCAGGCGCTGACGCCGGCCCGCTAGCCTTCTTGTGCGGAACGCTCACCGCAGCCGAGAGTCCAATTGCACTTGCTAATTTCCGCGCTATCTTTATGACAGAGACGGGCGGCGCCGTTTGACTGACAGCGCCTCCGGGCGGCGCGGGCGGCGCGGCGACACGCACGATGACAACTGGCAGACCGAGGGTCCTTCCACCAATCAAGCCATCGACGTCTCGCCCGACGCGCATACGCTCTCTGGGCACGTCGCTCGCTCAACCGCAATGAGAATAATCGGCGATGTCCGCCAAATCAGCGCGACCCACAAGATGTCGACGCCTCCATCACCCCATGACAAAACTTGCATACGCACACATTACAACACGCACACCACCACTCACAGACACGCACACAGTCCACACACGCACCACACCAACACCTCACACACGCATACACTCACACACGCACACACACAAGCACACACTCACACACACCACACTTCACCACACGCATACACTCAACACACGCCACATCCACTACAAGCCACACTCACACAAGCACACGCGCACACACACGCGCGCGCACGCACGCACGCACACACACACCACCTTTGCAGGTTTTTGTCTTACATAATAAAAACTTCTCGAAATGTTTCAGACGTTGGAATTAAATTCTTAGAGGATCTTAAAAGTCATCTAATAACCACACATTGCTGCGAGTCGTTTCTGATCTTTCAAGGAGAAATTTGAACGTACGATTGATCAAACGTGAAGGTACAGCGGAAAGGGTGGAGAGATTTGTATGGATTGTGTTTCAAAGACCATGGTGGTCACGTTCACATTACTGCAATGCACATGTTCAAATTATTCGTTTCACACTTAACACAAAGTTCTCGTTTAATAAAGACCACTGATGTGCTCTGAAAACTGAAGATTTTCTTTTTGGCTTTCAACAGTGTCTTCAAACCGCAAAGACTAAATTTTACCCTTACGTGTCTGGCCGTGTACGCCGCATTTGTTACGGCAGCGGTGTTATAGACTGAGGGGAAGGGGAGTGGGTCGACGCATGCAAAGCGGCCACGAGAGCGTTTCGTGTCGCGAATGCGCCGTGTGGCATTGTCAAGCGGCGCCGCAGGCAGCCCCTCCCATCCCAACCCTCCCTTCGCTCCCCCGCGGAGAGGAGCTCGCGGGCTAAAGCCACTGGCCTCTCTCGGCAAGCACGGACTTCAGGCACTCAGCAGTTGGGAGCAGGCAGCCGCGTTAAAAATGAGGGCTCACCGGAAAAATCCAGCGTGTTTAGACGTGAAATATTTAAATCATGATTCGTGCACCGCCGGTAGCTTTTCTTACCTGGAAAGAATTTTAGAAAAGTTTGTGGAAGAGAAAGTTGTTGTTAGGTTTTTCTTGAACCGTTTGCTGAATGGTACAGGTTATATTTGCCTTGTTCGCCCAGTCCGTGGCATATATATTCCTTCTTGGCTTCCTTCCTCTTCCCGGGAGACGCCGACGGGGACGGCGCGCCTGCTCGTGTCTCTCGCCTGTGGCCGCCGCCACGTGGAGGCAGCGTCGCTGCGCTCAGGCGGGGAAGGGTGGTGAGGCGCGGGCGGGGGTGGCAAGCGGTTATCTGCCGCGCGCAGTGCAGCTATCTGCGTTTCGCCGGCGCGCTTCAGCCGCCATGCTTGCTGACCGCGTCGCTCGCCCGCCTCCCGTAAAACAGCGCCGCCTTGCGCGGGCTCGCAGTGCCGCCGCTGGCGCGCAAGCAGCGGCTAGGCGGGGACGTCCGCCTCCCTCCGCCCTTTGCGCTCACGCAACGCTTCCCAATATGTCGTTCCTGACCCGCTCCCTCCCGACACCCACATTCTTTTTCACTCTTGACCGCGCCACACCTGCCCGTCCCTAACGACACCCACACGTTCTCCTGCAAACCAATACTCACTTTTCCTGTTCACGACTTCCTACACCTTTTTCTTGCCTCCGACACCCACACCTTTCCCGTTCCCGACCCTTTTCTGTTCGAACTTTACCCAACTCCCAACTCTTGACACATCCGGTTCCTACACCTTGCCGTCTCTATGTATGTACTACACTATACTCTCCTTCCTTCTTCTTCTTCTTTCTTCTTTCTTCTTCTTCTTCTTCTTCTTCTGTCTTCCTCTTTCTTCGACGGTTTCTACCCTTAGAGTTTGCCGTTTTCGTTTCCATAATTCTGGGTCCTCCCCATTGACCCCTCTTCCAATCCCTTCTCCTCCATTACTTCATGTATATATAGTTCTTCCAGGGTTAAACCAGGTCTACCTCTCTACGTCTTCTTCAGGTATCCAATTTACAATTTGTTTGGCCATCTCTCATTTCGCATCCTCGGAACATTGTCCATTACCATTGAAGAGCTTTATTTCTATCTTCTGTTTATGGTTGTTTGAACCCCAGCTTCTTTCCCACACCCACTTCGTTCTTATTTTTCCAGTCTTGTATCTGCCAAAGATCTTCTCCTTTCTTCCTACTATATTCTTCCTACAAGTTAGTAGTTCCATACAAGTACATCTCTATCGGCCATTCTAATTCCTATTGTGGATTCTTATTGTCGAGTCGAACTCCAGATTTAAAGTAAAAAAGAAAGCGATTTCAAATAAGTAGTTCAGATTGAAGTCATCTTCTTTAAATTTAGAACCCACGTGAAACCGAATTTAATCAGTATTAATATAAATTATATTTTCACTTCAATATACCTATTACTTGTAAAATTCTTTACTTCGCAAGAACGAAATTTGTCTTACCAGAATCAAAATTCATTTTGCAGCTGCATCCCGAATTCCGTTAGATCGTTGATACATTTTTTTCTCCGTTCAGCGAAACATATTGGATTGTACGGAGTATGCAACGGTGAAGTTGAACTCGAAGCAGGTCAAAATGTTGGTGTGAAGCCGCCGACAGCCCCGACGGCGACCTGCTGTGGAGACCGACAGGCGGACAGGGGCCGTCGGATGCGCCGAGCCCTTTGAGGCCGCTGCTGGCTGGCATTCGGGGGCGCGGGTTCTGCCCGGGTGAATGCGGATCGAGTTCCCTTCGCTCCGCCCCGCCCCGCCCCGCCTGCTCCGCCCCGCTCCGCTCCTGTGGGTGAGGTGTGAATGGCGTCAGGTCAAGAGCTCAGCCGCCCCTGACAATGCGGCCTCCTTCCGCTGTCAAGATACATTTGCGCTTGTCAAATACCGCCCGGAGAGGAAACGTACGTGGAGATCTCGACAGCAAAACAGAAAGGAAAATCCTTTTGCGGGGCACCACGAGACCAAGGGAACGTGAAATACGAGGAATTGTGTCTCTCCTGCCTTGCCGATTATCCGTGCGTCAAAATAATCTGGAGGTCAGACAAGAAAATAATGCATTCACACGCTTTCAAATTTCATGTCCTTGTTGAAATTTCACGCGTCAACTGAGCACATTGAATCTATTTATTCGAAGTATAGATAGAGTTTTTGGATTCATCTTTTTTTACCAACATTGATTACATGAAAGTTGTCAACATATTTTATTCTTTACAGCTACACAGTCTATCTAATATTCCATCATTAATTTTCTTGTTGATAGAACATAAACATCGACTTTATTCAATAGCGAAAAAAAGCATGTTCATTTCCGGTGAGAATTTCATTTCACTCCAAGTACAAATAATGCGATGGGTCTATTTATTTACGTCTTCGTAACAGTCTCCTTAAACAGCGTGGAATGTGTTCAGTTTTAGTACACATGCATTATGCCTCTCACATCAGAGAAAATTTATTACTAGTATATACGATCACTTTGGAGTTTTGTCTAATACTTTTACTTCTTAGCCTTTCTCTTGTAGAAAGAGCACATTTAGTGTGGTTGCACGAAAAACCGATCTATGAACGGAAAAACGCATTAGGCAATGCAGAAAAATTAATTTTCTTGCTCCTCTATGGATTGAATGTGTTCTTGATTACGTAGTTTAAGTCAGAAACCATAATTTGTGGGTTCTTGATATTTAGATCTTCATTAGATTTTTATTTAAATTCATGAACAATTATTTGAAAATTAATTGTTGCGAAACGAAGTGAAATAGAGACTTAGTAAAAAAAAAGTAAACATGATTTTCTCAAAAAGTTCCTATTTTTTCTTATTTTTTGTACTAGAATAAAGTAATGATCACTTAATAACACGGCATGAGTCTGTTTTTCATTAAAATCTCCGAAATGTTAATAATTGCAAAAATTCTACTCTCTATTAATCTTCCGAGCAGTGTTCGCAAGACAGCCGTCCTGTGGACTAGTAAATAAAAAAATGGCGCGAAATAAGTTCTTCGCTTATGGAACCAACACGAACATGCCAGCAGCGCCCCTAGCGGCTTGCTCGGGCACCTTCCGCAGCGCGGCGCTAATTGAGACGAGATTTAAGCCGCGCGGCGGAGGCGAGGGAGGGGAGTAGGGACGCGCTGATGCGCCGTCGATACACGCGCCGCGTTTATGGCGCGCTTGTTTCCTGCGCCAGCCGGCGCGCCGTAAAGCAATTAGCGCGCGCGGCCTCGAGCGGGGGCGGAGACGGACGGCCCGACGCGCCGCGCGGCGCCAGTGGACGCTGCCAGCGATTAGTCGGAGGCTTCATTATGAGGGGCACCCCCCACTCCCCCAAAAAAATGTACGTGCATTTGACTGTGAACATCGATTTTGTTCCAACATTACGTAGCTTTCTCTATAATACGAGGGTGTAAAAACGAAGAAAAAACAAACTTTTTCACAGCCTTCGCCAAATGCCTCTTTATTCCACACGTATTTTTCCTCCATTTCTCTTTTTTTTCATGGCTTCAGTTATTGGCATGTTGCATGTTCTTTTCGGCCTTTCTCTGTATCTTCTTCGATTAGGTATCCATTCCTAAAATTTTTGGGGAATTCTGATTTCAACCTTCTCCAATGTATAAACTATAATTTTAGTTGTTTTATATCTGTTATCTCGTTCAAAGTTATTTTCACTATCATTCCAACATATTTTTTTTATCATTTCTTAATTTTAATAATTTAATCGCTGATCTAGAAAATAATTTAAATATTTCAACGTGCTTGAATCCATTTTTTTTAGTGTCGCAGTAGAATCATGGCTCACAAAATAGTTGTTTTGTGTCAAGGGCAAACATGTGAGTGTTTTTGGGCGTGTTTACCATCCGAGACGAAGCGTAGCGGAGCTCGTTCCGGCTGAGGTGCGTTTAACGTTTTTTGAAGACATCCCCTTCGTACTAGCCATTTCTCCGCTGTAATATCTCCATACAAAAACGACCTTCTCTACCGACATATATAAAACTCATTTTGTATATGAAATGTAATCGTTGGCGGTTTTGTTGTCGCGCTCATTGGTCACCAGTTGATCTGTGGTTGTCCTGAGCATGCACTGAATCGCCTTCTACGCATTACTGCCCATTACGTTTTCGCATGTTTTTCAAACTAGACTTGTAAAAGGTTTTTTGCTTATCGGAGTAACCTCAACTTTACGGACGATTAACTGTCAGAAATTTTTAAGAGATGAATGTTAGAAAATGCATATCTTTAAACTTTGGTGATGGGCGCATTGCAGTGAAACCATGCCTTTGTGATTTTCGTTAAATGCAGGTTTGTTTGCTTGTTTGTTACAGGAGTGCAGGCGGAGCTGTTCTACGTGCGCGAGGGCGTGGTCAACGAGTACGCCCTCAACTTTCAGGTGCCCGTGCCGCCGCACTTGGGTGCTCTACACTTCGCCTGGCAGAGCCTCGCCCACCACCCGGTACGTGCATCTCAGACCTATAATAACCATTCTGTGGAATAGATGCGTTTTGCGGCTATCCTACCCCATGCATCTCAATAAATAAGATGTCAAAACTACAATTTTACTGAGCGGAGACTTTGATATTATGAAATGCAAATGCAATGTTTTGAAAAAACTACTGTTAGGCATGAAAAAATGCAAATCCCCCTCATAACTGACACTTTAACGATCCTATTCTCAACATTATACATAAATCGATAACTGAGCGTCTTGTGGCCTTAAAACTCGTGGCGAAATGCCTGGAGTTGAGGTAATCATTCTGCAATATAGTACAACATGATATATTTTTATGCCTTCTATTACATTATATTAGAACTCAACTTTTAAATATCTGTCCTCCACGCCAAAGCGTGCAGTAAGGACTTCAATTAAAATATCTTCGCTTATATACAACATTTTCCCCTTTCATAAGAATGAGATGGGAAAGGGGAGCTCGGGTTTCCACAGAGATTTTTGCAAGGGTAAGAAGTTTTAAGAAATAAAGATACTAAAACAGCAGCGAAAACCTCTTCTGAGGAAAATGACTACCATTAGCGCGTGGAAGGCAAACTATCAAACGTCAGACTAACTTAGAAATAAATGTAATATCTGCATCAAAAATTATTGTCTTTCAGATAAAAATATGTCATATCGAATAAATGAATTATAAGAGCCATAAACCAACACGCTGTAATTTTAAACAGCGTAACATTCGGCTACTGACTGTGCAGCTGCACGGATCCGCATCGGAAGCGCCTCTCCACCTCCGGCAGCAGAAGCTACTCGATCCCTTTCCTCGTCATCTGCGGCCGAAACGGATTCCTCCCCGCCCCCGCCCCGCGCCGTATAGGCTGGCCCGCGGGCTTCGGCCGAACAAACGGGCGCGCGAAAGGCCGCGCAACAAAGCGCCCGGCTGACAGGGGGCGTCGGCGCCGTCGCCCGAGGCAGCCCGGCCCGCCTGCGACGCCCCGCCCCCGCCCCCACCGGCCGCGGCGTTCGACGCGTGGCGGCGGGGCGGAGATGCGACCTTTCGGCTCGGCCGCACGGATGACTCGCGCTAGCAACGCTCACAGCCTCACAGGCCAGCATTTTTGTTTTTACTCGATTAAAAAACTATTTTTCCTTTACAAAACGAGTGTAGCAACCTGCACCTCGTAGTACTTAGCTTAGTATGCTTGATTATTAGAACAAATCCTATAGAAGGTATTTCTACCTTTGTTTCTAAGTATTCGTGCGATATATTTTTCTGAAGAGGTCAATTGTCTGTGCCCTTAAATACACGATACTGAAAATCAATAAAAGTGAATGACGTGAATAACTATTTATCTTCGCCGATGCCAATAATAACTTCAAGTAGTTATACTGAAAAATATTGATCAATTTAATGTAATCGTGATACGATTATTCAAAGCATTTCTCAAATATTCAGATGCAGGATTCTTAATGATATCTGCATTTTGGAAGATGAAGCAAATTTTCGCAAAAGTCAACATCTATTCCTGTGTATACTACGTGTGCGAACTTTGTGCTGCTCTTCATTTTCGTTGAGTCGTGACATTCTGGAGCGCGCATGGTGCAGGGGAGGGAATAGCGGAGTGCGAGGGGCAGTCACGTCCGCGACCGCGGAGGCAGAGGCGATGCGGCGCCGCCGGCCAGCGTCCCACCGCAGAATGGCGATCAACGACGCCGCATAAAAGCTGATTCTGTTCGCAGCTGCTCGTCGCCCACGCCGCAGGCGACCGCGATCCAAACCGCGAACTCTCATCCACGCCACCTCCCGACCCGAATTACTAACCGACCGCTCGCTTCTATTTTTTCTTGGTAAGCGCCGCCGTCGCCTCGCCGTTCGCGTCGTAGGTCGACCTGCGTCGCCCTCAGCCCTCGCGGTCGCCCTCGCCGTCGCCCTCTCGCCAGTTGTAGAGTGCGGCCCTTCGCCGGTGAGCGCCCTCAGCCGATCGGCCGCTCGCGTCGCCCTCGCCCTCCAGAGAGAGCCCTCCGCCGTCGCCCTCGCCCGATGTGCTGCCCTCGCCCGTCGCCCTCGCCGTCGCCCTCGCCGTCGCCCTCGCCGTGCCCGTCGGCCGTCGCCCTCGCCGTCGCCTCGCCGTCGCCCGTGCCGTCGCCCTCGCCGTCGCCGCTCGCCGTCGCCCTCGCCGTCGCCCTCGGCCCCTCGCATCGCCCTCGCACTCGCCTCGCCCTCGCCTCGACTCGCCTCGCACTCGCCACTCTGCCTCGCCTCGCCGCTCGCCGTCGCCGTCGCCGCTCGCCGTCGCACACCTCGCCTCATATTCCACCAAGCACCCTTTCGCCATTCCTCGAAGAGAAACTTCCTTCCATCACTGGGGCCTGTGGTAAGCGCCACGCCCGTTGTCATTGGTGTTGCCACAATTAATCAGCTTGCTTTTTATGTATTCCATTCTCATCAGAATTTTTTGAAAAAGTTTTTGACTCTGAAAATATTCTCAAAGACTTCAGAGAAACTATATTGGATATTTTCTGCTTTTTCAAATCGCGCAGCGTTAGTATTCTCTTTGGCCCCTTCGTCTGTTTCGCATAAATGAACTAGGGGGGGGGTGTTAACGTCGCTTGTAAATCCACCTCTATTCCTTTTCATTTTCAATTTACGGGCGGTGTCTCTGAAGTAACATAAAAACGCCTAAGAATAGTTTATCGAGCAAAACCATAATAATGATTAATAATGCATAATTCCCAAACTTCTTTTTTTCTCTCACGTAATCAAGCTGGCAAGTGGCATGGGTACAATCACGCGCGCGCCCTCCTGTGCATTTGTCTTATTAAGGCAGCTACATCAATGCACGGTTGCAAAGGCCGTACGAGCGGCCATTTAAAATGACTCGCTTAGCAAGAAACGCACAATACCCCAGCTGCAAAAACATCAAAATCAAAGACCGGGGTGAGAGTGGTTTCGCGCGAAACGCGCATATCATAAAAGCGTAGAAGCCTGATTTTGTACACACAGGCTTAACGAATGTTTTACGTTGCGTAGCTAATTTTCTTTGGAAACAAGTAAATTATATTTTAATAGGAAATGCAATGTTTCACATTTGTTGGCGATAATAATTTTATTGTTTGCAAAAATTCTCTTAAATTCCTTCAATTTATCGTTGTGTAGAATAGCATCGATATCAATGCAATAAGGGTTTAAGTGTATTAAAATAATTGGGTGTTTCCAAGTATTCCCTCATTCCCCATTTCGAATCAAAATAAAACTGGATCGTACACTTAGGGAATCGGCGTGTCATTTTTCTTTTTCCTTCAATTTATATCAGAGGTATTGATGTCGTGTATTTTCATATAGGCAATTAAATTCCGGCATTCTATTGAAAAAATAATTAAACATACATCGCCTAAGAAGTAATCACGACTAAAATTGACAGATTGAGATTCATTCATTTCAAACCGACGTAGGGCCTCGAACCTGTTTTCCTCCCTACGTTTTTAATCCTAAGACTACGCTTTGGTGGTTTGGTTATACTGCGCCGAAGAAACAAATACTGCAATTAACAATCGAAAAATGAGTAGCAACAGATGCATCGATACACTGGATCTTATGGTTAACAGGCTCATGCGTTAGTGCTGCCGAATGAACTCCTTTTATATCGATGAATTGGTTATTCATAAAGTTGCCGACCTCCTTTATCTGATGGTCCAGTGCTCTCGAATGAGCGGGAGCTGAAGGGGAAAGCAAAACACGTTCGGGGCGGTGAATTTGGTGGGCGGCGCCGCAATGAGTCGGGAGGGGTGAGGGCGGGGGCTTGTCAGGCGGTGGGGCGCCTGGGCGCGCGTAAGTACACACGCGTCAGCGCCCGGACTGCGCTGTTTGTTTCTCCGCGCCTCGAAATAGTTCGCCGCCCGCGCCCGCGAATCCGCTGCCACGGAGCGCGCGCAGACTCCAGTTCACTTGGTCGTGGCTTTCTAGCGCTCGAACCGCTTTGGTCATTGACGTCTGACGATGTCGAGGGAATGGGAAGGTAAGAATGCACGTGGGCCGATGTACCGCTTAGGGATCTAAGTGTCATTTTCTTTTCCCTTCAATTTATATCCGAATATTGACGTCGTTTATTTTCATACAAGGAAATTAAATTACGACAAACCGTTGGATAAAGTGCTTTTCCCGGATAAGCCTGGAAGTGATCATTCATCAGAATAGTCGTCCTGCGAATTCGTTTCAAAGTAACTGAACTCTGCGGGACCCTGTCGTGGTCGAACCTACGACCTTGCGGACACCGATGCACTCGCCTGTTAGGCGTCGAATTTTCTTTGGGCGTATTAATTGCAGTCCCGAGCGCAGGTCGCTGTGATCGCATGCAAAACGGCGGAGAGCTCGTCAGAGACTTGCTTTCGTATATGGGCGATTGGAAGATTTGAGGGCAGTCGACGCCACCTGAAGCCACGTTCAACACCTGGCAGTGATCCTCTCGGACGTCAGGGTATCGGCTACCTTTTGCAAATAAGTTTCTCCTTGCATGTTCGGTCTGCAAGCAGTCCCTATAAATCCTCAATCGCATTGTCGGCTACAAAGTCGCCTTCGACCATTAGTCAATTCATCTCCTCAAGAAATGTCCTACTCTCCTAAGCTCCTAAACTTCACTGCGCAATCTGCATAATCCCTTTAGTTCAGGATACTTTTGGTTCTTCCCTTGCCCCATACTATATAGGGTATAGATAAACTTTTTATAGTATCCTCTTCTCAGTGATCGTGTGTTCTGAACCCTGCCCACCAGTTGTAAAATTGGACCTAAAGAATCTCCAAAGTTAATACATATTCTACTCTTAAACCGCATCTTTTACTATATTAAAAATTACGGAAGTGCCTTCCAAAAAACCTATTTCAGAAACGACAGACACTCACGCCCATCATCTGTGGCTAACCGTGGGGATAAAATCATAACTCCCGACCGGGGAACGGTGAGCAGGACTGGGCGGGGCAGAGGATAGGACGGACGGACGCGAAGGGTGGCGAGGCGCGCCACCCGCTGGGCGCCAGGGCGTCGCCACCTGCGTCGCGGCGGCGGCGGCGCGTGGCCACTAATGGGGCCATTAGCGCGGCGCTCCCGCAAACACCGCCCCCGGCCCCGGCCCGCTTCGCCCCGCCGCAGCCGCCCGCTGCGCGCAAATACGCCGCCTCGGCCCACGGCTCGGGTTGCGCGCCGGGCGAGCCCACAGCTGCGGCGCCGCCGCCCGCGGACCCGGTCGCGCCGGCGGGGTCGGCTTTCCAGACTCTCACGCCGTTTACGAAGCCACACTCATTGTCAGTGACGGCGCCTTCACGTGCGGTACGAACCCACTAGGTTAAGGATGTGGCGGAAAACCAACCCGATTGAGCTTTTTGGCACTGTTTTCACTAGCCAACCAAGGGGTTAAAAAGTTTACGTTTTATAATATGTAGGTCGATATCGATGGATGTAAACAAAATCTTCAATTCAAAGCGTGTTACTGCAGGGACACCAATCCCCCTTTAATTTCGGTCGGCTCTTATATGAGATGAGATCAATTGAGTCATTCATACTTTCCCTCTTATGCTGCGAACGTTGCGAGAAACAAATAATGCTTCAGTTCCATTAATAAAATGTGAGTTATTTCTGTGTTTACATTCCTAAGTGACTCCATTCCAAAATCCACAACAGCATTTTGAGGAACATTAGTACGTGCAAACAACAAACGTACAGTACCCATAATCCTCCTCTCATATTCTCATTGCGTGCAATATGATGTATGTTCGAGAATTCGTACTAGGACATCTTTAAGCTTAATAAACGCCCAGTTGTTCATTTCAAGTCCATTCCATTCGACAGCACGCGCTTGGTCGGAGCAGTCTGTGAAGAAAACAAATGCAGCGGGGGAAGGCGCCCGCCTGATGTTTCTGGCTGCAGCTGCGAGCTCCCACGGGGCGGCCGGCAGCGCCCGAAGCGGCCCGCGCCGGAACTATACCGTCGCCCAGCCTCTGGCTCCACCTCGTCCCCCGCTCCCGCCGCGCCGCCCGCGCGCCCTTTGTTTGTTCAACTGAATCAACGCGCGCGCATCCGAGCGCTGGCGGCGCGTGGGAGAATCCGCACTCGTTTCCTCGCGTCACGTGACTGATCGGCTGGGCGGCCGCACGTGACGGGCGCGGCGCGGCTCGGTTTTCCTCGTCGATGCTCCACACACTAAGGGGTCGTGTTTATCTAGTAAAGTGTATAAAAAAATAGACAGTCGCCCATAGAAAATGAGTCCTTGATTATATTAAATGTCATTTACGTATACATCGCTAATGCTTTTAAACGAGTCTGAAAGATTGAGCTTTACGCATTGCAGTTAGTGGTAGGGTGATATCTTGCCATTCAAGATCCCAATCCTTCGTTTTAAATTCACTGAAAAGCCTTTCGATGTATAAACATAAACACTACTTCATTATCTTTCAAATACGTTCAATTTTACTTGAAAAAATTACCATCACATTTTAATAAGACTGACGTCAAAGTGTAGATCAATACGCGCGTTTTCGAGTAAATATTTCTGAATTGATCATTTGAAAACAAGTGGAATATCATCCACGAATAACTCCATGCATGAGAACTGATGCATTTGGCTGTAGGTCCTCCCTTTGGATGATATAGTGGGATCTCGTTCAGGTGGGTACTCAAAGGGGGTGACATATGGGAATCAATAGATGACAAGTCTTTCGCAGGGCACGTGTGATGAAAATGAGATCTTGAATATCGTCTGGAAAATGAGATGGGTATTTTTCAAATATGTTAAGATTCTTAATATTGAAAACGAAAACTTTCAAAATGGTGTTTTACTGCTCGATGGATGAAATAGACTTGGATATACTACAATTCACGACTAGTTTTTCAAGACGGTGACACAGTCCCTTTCCACCGAGCGGCCGGCCTTCCAATGGATCGGAATTCGTTTGGAGCTCGAGCGAGCCGAGTCCCGTTGGGAGCGCGAGTGGAGAGGACCAGGGCTGCGGCGCCTTTGAAACCGACCCGACGCCGCCCTCTCCCTCGCCCTCGGCCGCTGATGCAGTCGCAGGCCGAGGTGTCCGCTGCCAAAGGCCGGCACCGCCCTCGCTGCATCCGCGAACTCCGCTCCGGCCTCGCCTCAGGCTCTCGGGGCGGAGCGTTCCCTTCACGCACGGAGAGACGGACCACGCCCCTCGCACCATGGGACACACAGCTTGTCCGGGTGCCCGGAATGCCTTGTTCTCTTTCCCTTTGTGGAAGATTCGATACTTTCGATATCTTGCATTGCGGAGAAGAGAAGAGCGTGTACTATTCATGGCGTATATTATTTGCTGTGGCGTTATTATAGATATTAATGTTCTGCTAGCTATTATGAATCCATCTCCGTAATCGATTGTTGGTTTTTTCAGAAATGTGGAATTTTATGCCAAAAAAAGGTGTGAAATAAATGAGCAGAAAAAATGTGTTATTCAACAATATGTATATATTTAGAATTAAAATGCTGAAAACAATTGAAAATATACATATTTTTTAAGGAAAATTACTTCTTTCTTCTCGTTCAGAATAACGTTATATATTCGTTATAAGCTCGCTAGGTGGAGTGTAAAATTATAAAGTCTCCTTACTGATTCCACGTTTATCAGTCTTAATGTTCGCGTAATGGGTATAAAAACGATGCTTTTATTAACAGATTATTTCACTTGAAACAGACTACAAACTCCATGAGAGGAAAAGCTACGAATGCTTGCCCTTAACCACTGGTGATTTCAATATTACTCATTCAGCCGGTATGAAAGGAGCAAAGATATTTGCGTCGAAGTACGCATTACATATAGGCTGTGGGTTCGTATTCCGTGTAGGCTATGGATGATGTGCATTCCTAACATACCACGTATTACCTATGGCTTTTACTTCTTTCCTTTTCCCGGACTAGGAGTATGAATGTAGAGAAGACCAGGTACGCGACGTTGAGGCCTACTGCCCAAGCAACACCGCCATGTAGGCGTAGCCTGGCTTCCTTCCTCTAAACCGAACTAGGCATGATGTGATCACGAGCTTCGTTTGTCTCAGAAAAGTTCAAAGATCGATACTGTCTCACGACTCACAAGGGCGCCATAGGGAAACAGGTAGGTTTCACGGGGCTGTGCTTGGATTGATTGATCATCTCCTGTTTCCCGCCGCGCCAAAAGCTATGATCATTACCCACGTAAGAGTAGGTGATTTTTTTCACGGTCGGTGTTTGGCCCTGATGGTGATGAAATCAAGAATCTCCCCTAAAGGGCACCCTCCTCCCATCAGGAACAAGATCTAAACTCTCGACCGGTCTCCCGAAATGTGAAGTAATGTGGTGCATGTGTGTTTAAAAGTAAGGGGTGACGATAGGACAAGGAAGAGGAAAGAAGGATCATGTGCGGTCCGTGGCCCATATGTTAGGGTACTGCCCCGGCATTCACCAGGTATTGATCCGAGAAAACAAGGAAAACTACTGGTCGGAGTAGCCGGTTGCTAGAAATCTCTTCCAGGCAGCGGCAGACCTTGATCTAAATAGTGTTGAAAATCTTGACACTGTTGGGACTCGAACCCTACACCCTACCGACGTCCTTGTCAGAGGCACTGTAATGACACCAGTTTATGCCCTGAAATACCTCAGCACGCTTTACCGAGAAACAATCGACTGCGATCTCGGTCTTGTGCGCATGCGCAGATGCACGAAAGTGATGCGAAAATTTAACTGCGCATGCTCAGATGATCGATAGTGTTTTCGATTGCTTTCACTTTCGAGAATGCAAAAGCTGCCTAATAATAGACTCTGCCCTTTTAACCAGTGGCGTGAGGACGAGTGCTGAGCGTGTTGTGTGCGTGCGTGTTGCAGCTGCAGTACTCGCTGGCGGTGGAGCTGGGCGGCGGCGCGGCCGAGGCGCTGGGCACGCCGGCGCTCAACGTGTCGCACGCGGGGCTCGTGCCCACCGCGCCGCAGGTCTTCCGCATCACGCTGCCCTGCACCGGCCGCGTCTCGGCGGAGGTCAACGTCACCGTCGCCATCAACGTCACGCTCGGCCCAGGCAACGTCACCTCGCTCGCCATCCGACGACGCAAGTTCTGCCAGAAGGGCGACTGTAAGTACCTCCCACATTCAGCCAGCCGTCTTCGCTTTGTGGACGATTTGGACATCGAGGCCGATCTTTATAGAGCCTTGCATGGGACTTCACAATCACTTCATATTGATCATGTACTCACAAGCAATGTTAGATCAACATTACCACAAGAACACTCACTGAAGAGGATTCTCCGTATTGATGTTACAAACATATACGTGATTGGGTTGTGTGACTGGGTTGAAGACGAACACTTTTTGACAATGAACTTGAGATTGGAAATGTCATATACTGTAGTTCCACATGCATTTTCCCCTGATTACAAGGCAACCCATTTTGTACTCATTGTTCAAATTTATCACCAATAAATATCTAAATGAACTCTTATTAAACATTCTTTACACACTTTTCCACAGAATACTTTCTTGTCAAATTCAGTGTTGTACAAGACTGAAAATAAATCAGCTTTAGAGATATATTTAGCTATAGAGATATTAGAAGGAGCCGCTCTACAGCTCCTGCTGACAACATAACTGCCGATTATGATCATGCACTCAATACGTCAATGCGTTCGTTTAGCTTGCTTATTAGTAAATGACTTCCATCACTATCTCTTGCAATGACATCGCTGTGTATGACATTCATTTGTTTTCCGACCTATCAACCTAGTCACTTCTCACGGCAACTCTTCTATACGAAAGTCGACTAACAACTTCTTAGCAAACAATTCCTAAGTCTAGAATAATTTCTGAGCTAATATATTCTACAGAATCTAAGTTGCCATCTTTAAATTGGTTCACGACTTTCAAGTGTCACGAAAACGATGATTAGAAATCCCAATACAGTTAGCGTAAGTGGATTGCTGCGACCGTCAGACTTCCGCATAAGGGCGCGCTTGTCTCGTCGCGAGCGGGGGCGGGGGGAGGGGTGAGAGTCGCGAAGGGGAAGTGAAGGCGCCCAGTGGACGCCGTCTACTCCGCCGCGGAGGCCCATCCATCACGGCGCCGCGGCGACGTCGTGACAGCCGGAAGCGGCGGCGATAGCGGCGTCGCGACACCCGGCGACAGGCGACGACACGCGCGACACGGGCGCTTATCGCCCGCCCCTTCCCCCCTCCCCCTCCACGCGCCCTGCGCACAGAGGTGCGCGCTCAGCCCCCTGCGCAAACGGGAGCGCAAAGAACAGCTCCTGTTCTCCGCCCGGCCAGATAACCTGGCGCTTCCCACGACGTAGCTAGTGGGAGAACGCGACCATCTGCATACTGCTTGCTCCACATTTGGATGCTTTGCTAATTCGCGCTTCATTTTGAGCCAGGAGCTGACGAGGTATGACCTCTAGGTTTCATTTTTACATAGACACGTATACAGCAACGCAAGGGGAAAATCTTATCACACGAACACAAAATTCGCGTTCCATTCACAATTATAACTGGTTTGAATATCAAAATAAATACCCCGACTGATAAACTGGCACACACGTAAGAACAAATTATGGGTTTGATAGCGAGTAAACATAAATGTGAAATAAATTCCATCAAATTTGCATCTACTGAATTCATTTTATTTTTCTCTCTCTCTTCTTTGCAGAGTGAAACAGTTTTTTATCTCCAGAAGCAGTAACACGGAGAGAAAAGCTTGGGGATTTTAAATTTTGTATTGGCGTTTGAGAAACCAAGTTTATGTTAATGTTAACGAATCATTGAGATTGATCCAATCAAAAACCTGGTAGGGAATCTTTTTGTTGGCATCTTATTCATTAATATTTGAGTGTGAATGGATCAACATAAATACAAGTCCTGACATTAGTATCAATACTTCGATTTCAATGAAAGTGAACAAGACTTCGAACCAAATTTTTACATATATCAGTGAAAACGTCAATACAAACGTTTTGTTAATATTACAACAACGATGCGAATAATAGAATGTAGCCTGCGAGTACTTCATGTAGTTTATTTTTTTAATATCGACATATATTCGCCTCAGTTTTGTTGCTCTATATTTTTGTATCGTCAATTTGCAATTTCCCTTCCAGGTTCGTGGTTAGGCGGAAGAGCAGGCCCTATGGCCTGAGCCTCTCCATTAATAAAGACAATATTAATATTATTATTAATTATTATTATTATTATTATTATTATTATTAAAGATTCTTTACGGACTATAATTTCCCTCTCCTCGATTGTTAATACAACATACCAAACCGAGATGGAAGAGTACCACAAATGCAAATATTGAGAGACTGGTGCAGTTTGTAACATCCCTCTCCCCTGTTCTGTATTTCAAGCTCGTCGTAAAGATAAATATTTACCTTTGAAAATGTTATCTTGGCATTCACGTGATTGATGTGGAGTCAGCACAAACAGCACCTTCATGAGAAAACCAGCTACAACAAACTCCTGTTAAAAACAGAAAATGATAATAGAGGACATATATTTATAGACGGTCAGAGTTCGTCGTCCAGTGTATTTACCATCTTTTAAGGAGTAAGCTCACTTCAACAGCTCCGCAAACGTTCACATTCAGATCGTCAATGGGTTTTACAGAAACTGCATTATGTACCCGATAGGATTCAATGTTATCTTGAAAATACATTGTAATGCAAAGACTTATTTTTGCACTGTAACTCAATATTTACTATCCGCATTCAAACTGTCATGTTTGTTCAAACTAGTTCACGCTTCGCAATCAAGACATCAGGGTCGCTGTGGATAGGCAGCCCTCCGTACATTGATGTAATGCGTGTGGCGGATATGCAGGCGCTTGACTAGAGAAATTCAGACACGAAATGCAAGTTAAATAAAATTAAATACCGTTGACACTCAGACAACTCATCAAGCTACAAATTCAAACGAATGAGATTAAACAAACTATGAATATAATAATTCTACAAATGGCGAGAAACACCGTACTGCCTCTCATCCAATGATTTATTTAATTTCACTATCATTCGGATTACTCCAAACCTGACTAATGAAATAAAATAAATGATAGTTAAAACTTGAACTGAGTCGATATGTGGATACTTTTTTATAGATGAGGCTTCAGTATTAGGTTGACAGATATATTTTAGGTATGAATGAGGGAATGTTAAACTTTATAAAGGTAAATGAATATTAATCTCACGCGAGTTGACCTTAAACAGTGTATGGTGTATTTTCTATAAAAAATAACGTCTAGACTGGTAATTTTCTTCATTTTCTGAACAAGAGATTATTGAGAAATATAATTTTTGTGACATCTCGTGAAACAAACTACTTCACAACTCAAAAAACTCGCATGAATTGGAAATAATTACCAGCGATGAAAAAACCTGGTCATATGCAAGCGCTAAAGGGAACCACACATCCACGTCATCGAGTCTAACGCGTGAGATACGCCACGCGCCACACGAGACCCGAGCTTCTCAAGTGACGCCCATGTCCGCTGCTAACGAGTGACAAGTGGCGGAGCAGATCGACGGCAGCGCCGCGCGCGGTGGGCGCGGAGTGAGTGGCGGGGAGCGGGCAGGTGGAGGTGGAATGTGGGCGGGCAGCGCAAACAGCCGCGGGCGGTGGGCGGTGGGCGGGTGGGCGTCGCGCCCCCCATTTGCATGGGCGGCGCCGGACGCGGTTCCTGCGCCGCCGCCGTGGCCGTCGCCGTGGCATTCCGCATGCAAACGAGCGGCGGGCTGCAGCGGCGCGCCGCCCGACCGTCCCTGCCCCGCACGCTTCGCTCCGCTTCGCCGCCCGCGCCGACGCCGATTTACGATCACCGCCTCCCTCCTCCTCCTCCCCCCCCGTCGCACGACCAGACCCGCTGCGCGCCCCGTCCTCCGGAGGAACGCGACGACACCGAGGACCGCAACAGCCAACACCGAAAAATGTAGAAAGGGGCCGGTGCGGCTGCATCCGCACACTCAAAATAGGTCATTGGCTGTCTCTAAATTCCTTTCCCTTATACGAGCCGAGGCATTCCTAGCGGGGTGCTGCGGAGATCAGCTGAGAGTTCCATTTGTTATTATCCCATTAAATCCTCTTATGTTATTTTGTTCCGTGGAAACCTTATTGTCAGCGCAATTGCAGATCATCTCAAAGATGCATTGTCGGACAAAAAATTATGTTGAATTAAATACACGAAATTAAATGAATTCCTTCAAACGTTTCGTTCTTCGTACTTGCTTCACGTAATCCAAAGTGATTCAGCACACCATTTTTTGCATTATTTTCATTTACACGAAAAAATGCAATGAAATTTAGAGAAATGTTCCTTCGCACACGTTTTTCTGCTCAATAACCGCATGCTGTCCTAAACACATTGTTTACCAGCTGTAGACGAGCGCCTACAATCCAAAAAGTAAATAAAGGGAAAGAAATATGTCAGAGAAAATACGCTCACCGACATTCGAGAGAGAAACTGTCTGGAGTGTTACCCGTACATCTTTCTTGCTCGACTTTCCACTTTTCAAGCAATATATCTGCGGGCTTACTCTGTTGCAGACCTAGAAACCAGCGGCAGTTCATTTTTTTTTGGGACGACGCGCTGCCAAGAGGCAGCGAAAAACTGATATTCAGGAAAAATCTGTGCATTTATTTCGTCAACGTATAGTGTCAATGAATTTGTTTACAGAATGTATACAACCACTGGCGTCAAATTCAAACATAATGGAATTGATGTTTCATTTACTCCATGGAATAATGATGGTATTAATTCCCCTTATTCCCTCGACTATACTTTTGCAGCGAGTCACTTTCTGCAAACACAAAAATGTCCTTGGAGGTTGTTTGTATGCACGTCTTCGTAGAAGTATTATTCTCTATTCACCAAGTTACTTTCTTCCCATCTTCTTTGAGGAAACAGATATTGGTAGTCACGTACGTACTGTTTATAATACGTAAGGATGTGTATTGTTCCCCAACACTACGCCGTACACAAGAATGACAATTTATTTTGATCACTTGTATTGTCTAGAAGGCTTCCTCCCACCACATGCAGTCATTGGCACAAATGATGATAGTGCATTGTACCGAGCGGTAGGGAACACACCTGTCACTCGGGACAAATCTTGCTTCTCATTAACTCTGTAATTTAGTACGCAATAGCAGAACATTTCCTGTGCGTTGTGTATACGCTCGGCAAACCAGACGCCAAAGTAGCAATCAGTGTTGTGCTTGAACAGGACGAGTGCATGGATGTTGTGCTCGTGACATCCGCAGCTTCGAAAGGAAGCAACAGCAATAGCAGCGGCAGCGGCTGTGCTGCTTCAATTAACTTTGCCACTGCCTTGCATACACTCCTCCTCTTTCCAAGAGTCCCTCCTGGTGGCCACGTTGCCAAGCACAAAGCAGATACCTCGTACGCATTTGAAATATCGCCTACATCATATAACCTGTGTGGAAAAGTGAGTGTACAAACGTCACCATTACCTACGAGAATGTTATTGAAAACTTATTTTAAAATAATAAAATATACATTACGAAATAATTTAAAACATGTGATTAGCAAGGAAAGTGAATGAACCAAAGCACAACTCAACACAATAAAAACACTGAAGAAGGGAATGAAATTCGAGTTAAACAATCACATGGCATATAAAACGTATTGGCGGTAGCCGTAAAAAATAGATAAATTCTTAAAAAAAGCATGATCCAAGTTTCGATAAAATTCACTCTGTCCGGGAGCAATTAGGGCGGCGATAAAATACATCCAACTACACCGTGCACACCAATATTGTAAGGGTCTTGACTTTGACATGTCTAACATACAACCAAACAATGTAATAGTACAAATTTCCCAAGTGGTTCATCTATTTTCTATAACACATCCTGAAATGCTTAAATTGTTAAATTGTATCACTGTTTTATTATAAAACCTTTACCATACAACGTACACCATGATAAGGTATTTCTTCAATTCCCCTACAGTCAGTACCCAATTAAGGTTCAGAGACTAGCTATTAATCTAACCACTTTTAACATAAGCAATAGCAATTCCACAAGCGTGTGAAAATGAATGAGAGTTTCACTACAACAAGAGAAAATTTTACATTTGTATGGAATGGCGTGTGTTGCAGATGACACGGACGTGGTGGTGGTGATGGACTCTGCGCCCGAGGGCGCGTCTGCGCTCGTCTTCTACGTGGCCATGGGCTGCGCGTGCGCAGTCATCGCCGTCATCGTCGCCTTCATCGCCGTGTACTACGTGCGCAGCGGGAAGGCGCGGCGCCAGGGCGAGATGCTGCAGTGAGTACTTCGTCCATTCTACGCCGCCATAGTAGACCACCCTATCCACTATTTCTTCATTACAAAATACCAATAGTATTACTTTATTTACAGTTTATTCGAAGTAGATGTTATTGGGTTTACATTGTACGTAATAATTTTTATATGCCACCGCACGGGGGCGGGAGGCAAAGGGGCACTGACCCCCAAGAAAATTTCGAAAGCTCCAAGTAATAAATCATTTTTGTAAATATAAATTCTTCTTTTCCCCTTTTTAAGGCGAAAATTTGGTGGAATGGTACACGATTTTCGGGAAGAAGGGGAAAATTCCAAACCTTATGATAACGTGCAAAAGGTCCAATCAATCATTGAATAACAAAACGTTTAATGGAAGAAGGGTACCTAGAAGGGCTCAGATATGTAGTAGTTGCCTCCTACGTGTTGTTTTTAGCTGTACATGATAATAACAATGTTGCATCGTTGTCATAATTCAATTTTTTTAAAATTTCCTTTTATTCTGTTTTTGGCAACACAAGTTGTCCTCATAGTGTTACAATATGGTTGATGATAATAATTTCCTTTCTGATTAAAAAACACGAAGAGAAAAGTTTGTCCTCTCAAAAGTTTGGCTGCGTTTCCTGAAGCAACAGAGATAAGATTGTGGCCTGTACGGGTCCCTTTTCGTTTCTCTTCATTTTATGTCTCATGCCAAGTATTTTTTATTGCCGACTGCGTATTCAGATGACCGAATTGTTCATACTGTTTGATCACACTTTGAGTATTGTGGTAACTATTATATTCAAATCAGCTAGTCGATGCATAAACCGCGTGGCAGTAAGACCACGTGTGCGGCTACGCAGAGTCCATCGTCACTAGAGAGGTGTACAGAGTGCTGCACATAATATTATCGCATCTAATGTCGTGTGCCACCTATATCTCAAGTGGTGGACGTATGTATGAACGGTAAGAGCGACTTCAGGCGTAATGTGAATATATCTAGTGTTCATCGTTCTCTCTTCTTCTCCACGAAGCAAAGATGATTCGACAAATGAAGTCGGCGGCTTCTCGGCTGTACGGATGCCTTTATCACACGCGGCTTCGTTCACGCCGCAGCCTTCCTCAGGGCTAATGCGTTCATGCACCCTGTTCTTCCCAGGCGGCGCGCTTGACAGCCCTTGCGCATGCGCTGTGTGCAGGGAATCACGCAACGGGTCGAGCAGCAGCGCGCAGGGCCACGCCACCTTCCTGACGGCGGCGGAGGCGGCTGCGGCGGCGGCCGCGGCGGCGGGGGCCAGGGGCTGCGGGAGTGGGGGCGGCGCGGCCTGCCGGCGGGGGTGGCCGCGGTGGGGCCGGGGGCGGCAGGCGCCGGGGGCGGCACCTCCGCCTCCCTCGTGTAAGTCGGCAGCGTCCTACGCCTCCTTCCGCCGCCCGCCGTCCTACTCGCTGCTGCTGGACGAGCGGCCGGGCCACCAGGACATCCACGAGCGCATCGCTGAGCTCACCATCCAAAGGTAAGATGCAAGGATTGACACACTTATTGGTACAGTTTATTGGTACAGATCTCATAAATTCTCTTGAGATACACGCGTGGGTAAAAAACGAAAACTCCTCATAAAATGAATGCGTGGTTTGCAATTCTACTCGCACAATCTGTAGCTAGCGGCATAATATTTCCCCTCTAACAGTCCGATGCCAACTTCAGTCGAGACAGCGTTTTATGTACTTTACGTGCACCATAACTGAGTTCCAGAAGTAGAACGTGTGCGAATTGTTGACACCAGTACTGTTGGTGATTCTGCAACCAACATGGTCGAAGTTCTTTGAGTTTTGCGAGGCACATTGTCTGAGATTGATCGCCTAAAGAACGTCCGGGGGGAAATACATTCACTAAATACGAGTGGGGAACCAAAGAGTCGTTTAGGTAAATGAGATGAACATAAGTAGAATCGAGAATTAAGGTTGCAACTGTGAAAAGGTCTGTTGAAGTGAATGTCGCGCTCACAATTCCTGTCAGGTCTCTAACAATAAGGATAGAGCTACATTAGCAGTGTAATTCTCTATATGCTACAATTCCTAAACCACTAATCATTGAAACGTTTCCATTATTTGCTCTACCTCCTATACTTTTATCTTCTCGTACAAGCATAATTTCTAGGGGGTTATTTTCACAGTTTTCATTTCGTTGGTAGATAAATAAGACGACAAACTTTACAAACCGACAATTATTTCGACCTTGTTGTTGAAGGTGGGCTTCTTTGCGGGAGGGGATGACTTCCCAAAGATGATTTGCACATAAATATTAAATAATCTAAAATCATTTATTTATTTATCAAATGAGACCGGAATTCCCATTCATTAAGAGAGATAGCTTAAGTATTATTACAGCAATTGTTCTTGTTTGTCATTTCACAGAATGTTCATTTGGCCTAAAAAATTAAATATCTAATTTATTGCTTGCACTCATCAATGTAGAAGTAATGAAGAATGTAAACTTAATTAGTTTTCGAGTCCTCGTGCAACGAAACTCTGCCATCGAATACAAAACCCCGCACTAGTAGAAAGACAATCTCTTTTGTAAAACATATCGGTGAATCCTTCGATTCCAAAATAGCTGCGGTTCCTCCGGGCAGAGAGGAAAGGGCGCGGGAGAGGCGGCGTTGGGCGGCGGCCAAGAACGCGCGTCTCGCCCGCCAGGGGCGCTGCGGGCACGCTTTATCGCTGCGGGCCGCCGTTAAAATTGTTTTGGACGCGGAAGCTAAACACGAACACAGCGGTTGCCGCCCACGCTCCGCGCTCCCGTCGCGGAACACACTTCAGAGAAGCGGTTTCACAAACGCACAGAACAGGTGCAGGGGCTCTGGGCTAGTAGATTTCCTGGACCTTGGGTCGTAAGAGGTCGTCGCTATGCTTTAGGTTGTGTCATGCTTTTGTACCCTGGTGAGGTCAAGATACCAAAGCGCACTCGAGCCGAACAGACTTCAGTGTGAGAGGGATAAAGTAGAACTTAAGGCCATAAACATGACAGGACTAGGAGCAATCAGTTTTACAAATATCTTCACAACATTCCATTTCATTATAAAGTTCCGACTTTCAGTGAAATCTTTGGATAACATCTTTGATGCCTTAGAGTGTGAAAGTGAACGAAAACAAAACGTGATTTCGAACGCTTGAATACACTTCTATGCATGGTTATTCCTCTCATCCAACTCATTACAAAAAGAATTGAAAAGCAAATCGTTGTCAGGGTTAAAAAATATTTTATTTTTTACTGATACGTTATTCCTTGTCGTTGCCTTCGATACGGAGCATGAAATATACTGCATAATGTTCCTGGGTTAGGAGGATGGTTACGAGGGATATACGAAAACTGTTGAATGATGCTACATATTGTCTTATGGAGGCAAATATGAAAAGGCAAATGGAGTCAAATTAACAACTAGTCAAATAGTAAATAAGTAAATCTGAATCGTTCTAATTAAGTAAAAAAAATTACCACATTTATGTATAACTGATTCTAATGATCTCGGGCCGATGGCTCTCGGACGTTTAGTCGCCGTACGATCATTAGAACCCTCATGACGCCTTGGTGCGTCTCGTCTTCGCACGTGTGTGGGTGTCGAGAGCGGAGGTTGCAATGTGCCGCGTTGTGTGCGCAGGTGCCGGGTGCGACTGCGCGCGGTGGTGCTGGAAGGCACCTTCGGCCGCGTCTACCGCGGCTCCTACAACGACGAGGAGGTGCTGGTGAAGACGGTGGCGGACCACGCGGCGCAAGGCCAGGTGTCGCTGCTGCTGCAGGAGGGCATGGCCATGTACGGCGTCACCCACAAGCACGTGCTCTCCGTGCTGGGCGTGTCCATCGAGGACCACACCGCGCCCTTCCTCGTCTACCCCTACCAGGGATACACCAATCTCAAAAGGTGACTATTGACTACTCTTCACTAATGTCACGCCGGGAGAGGTGGCTCAGGTCTCACCTGATGTAACTGCAGTGTGTATAACCGGGAGATCCTGTGGTTCGAGTCCCGATGGAGGCAGGATTTGATAGCTAGGTCGAGTTCTGTGCTATCTGGAGGAGAATTCGAGCGGCCGACTGCTCTCATCAGTAGTTTTCCATGTTGTTTTTTTTTTATCATCATCAGGCGAATGCCGGAGCAGTACTCTACCAAACGAGCCACGGATCGCTCGCGATCTTTCCTTCCCTTTTCTTCACCTATTCTCACCCCCCTTACACACACACACGTGCATGCACTACACTACCACACATGCTGGAAGACCGGTCGGGAGCTTAGAGCTTGCCCCCAGCCGGGGCGGTGGCCCGCTGGTGGGAGATACCTGGTCGGGGAAAACACCGCTAGCCGTCGGTAGGTCGGCGCCGTTTCTCGCCATCCAGCGCGGAAAGATCATCGCCACCTCCCGAGCAAAAAGCATGCACTGCGCTTACGGGACCAATAACCTTAGCAACTGACGCGCCCATAATCACTAGTAATCAATCACTAATGTCATTTTTTTACATTTTTTTCTTATTGATCTTCTATTGAAGGGCTGTTGGCATTGAAAATGTAATACAACTTGACATTTTCATTTAAATGATGTTCAACTTTCATCCGATCAGCCGTCACGAAGTCAGAATTGGAAAATTATTCATCGTTCTAATGAAAAAAACTGCGATAAAGATTACTGCAACTGGCAAGTTAATGGAAGGGGCTAAACGGGACATGTAATCACTTCATAACACATGCAAGTTAAATTCTGGGTAGCAACACACTCGAAGGCGAGGCATGTGTGTGTTTTGGCTCTTTGCCTGACACGTAAAAGAGAGGGGCAGGTTCCAGATTCACTGGACTTGGCAAAAATTCGGTACAATTTTCACTCGAACTAAAAGGTCATTCGTTATTCACTCGCCTAACGTTTAGTAAATTTCTTCCGTTGGGTTTGTAACCAGAAAAAAATCGTGTTTCAAACTCAAGAATCCCAGAATTTCCAGTATTTTTCATGAGAAAAAGCACAATTCATTCGAAACCAAATTCCAATTCGTGAGCTTTTTATCTAAAATCTATTGAAAGTTATTCATATGTTAGTTTTGCTCGTGGGTAAAGTTCGGCTCGATTTCTTATCAACTTCATGCTTCCTAGCGCTGCAGCGTAACTCCATCTCCCGGTAAAAGCTTGAACTAACTACTGCATTCCAGTGATGCTATCGCTCCAACTGGTGTCAAGCGGAACCCATTACACAGACTTTGAATATGTAGATAATATCTAAGTAAACCCCGAGCACGCTAGGGTAGCTATTTTATTAACTTATTTTTACGTACTCATGTTTTGACATTGAAAGCAGAGCAAACGACAATTTTGTCGCCATGGGTGAAATAGAAGGGAAATGCAATGGAGAATAGCAAGTAAAGTAAAATGTACTCCCTCCTCTTCCTCACAAAGAGAAGTTTGTACATAGATGTTTTGTTGGTTAGAATTCTCAATTCTCTGCACAGGATTCTGATTCATTAATATTACATTTAGGGATGATTAGTCTTTCATTTGTGTCATTTTTTGAAACACATGTTCACTGCCAGAATTCATTCCGCAATTTTAAACATTTCCTTGAAAGTACAATTTTTATTTTTTGTTTGACTTTTTCTTTATCTCTGAGTTCATTACATATCTACAATATGCATTTGTTTTGTCTGTCAGTAAAAATCGAAATTATTCCAAGCCAAAAAAATAAGGCTTACTGTGCCTACATTTATTTCCTAGTATAAAATCCTGTGGATGATAACAAAGTATATTCGAATTACTTCGTTTCCTGATCTCGCGGAGATCGAGAAACGGTAGAGTCGTAATCGCGTGTAACCATTACACGTCTCTCGCCACATCTGCCTGTCCCCCAAGGCATTTAGGAGAGCCTGAGAGCATTAATTAATTTCAAACGGTGTAAAAGGTAACTAAGCCCATTATTTGTCCAAATGTAATAAATCATCGTAACTCACTTAACACGCAGAAGTGTGTTAAGTCAGTTAAGAAAGAAATCTAACATTAAGGCTGAAGACGTACAGTAGTACAGTTCGATACGTCAAGGTTACCCTCCTGGGTATCAGGCTTCTCTTTACCTTCTTCATGCAGTCCTAAATAGGATTGCATGTATTATAGAAGGGAGCAGGTTCTGATTTACGGAAACCGACTCCCTGATTTTTTGTAAGTTCCCGTCACACTCCAAATTTGGTACGTCGCATTGCGCGAATGTTAGTCAACACGAACGAGTTTCTTTTCATTGCGCCGAGGAGGTTTCTCTGCGGAGGTAGTAAGGAGAGGTGTCGTTGCAGGTTCCTGCAGAAGTGCAAGCTGTGCCCGGAGGGCGTGGCGCACACGCTCACCACGCAGGAGGTGGTGGAGATGGCGCTGCAGGCGGCGTCGGCCGTGCACTTCCTGCACAAGCGGCGGCTGGTGCACCGCGACCTGGCGGCGCGCAACTGCGTGGTGGACGAGAAGCTGCGCGTGAAGGTGGCGGACAACGCGCTGGCGCGGGACCTCTTCCCCGCCGACTACCACTGCCTGGGCGACAACGAGAACCGCCCCATCAAGTGGCTCGCCGTCGAGAGCCTGCTCCACAAGCACTTCTCAACTGCCTCTGACGTGGTCAGTAACTCACACCAGTCCCAAATGGGATTGCATGTTTCATAGAAGGGAACAGGTTCTCATTTAAGGAAACCGACTCCTTGATTTTTTTCAAAGTCCCCGTCACCTCTAAAATACAATATTGTGTGTAAATAGCAGGGGCGTCTAGAGAAAACCAGGGTCCTAAGGCAGATGATCCAAAGGGGCCCCGTATTTCATATAAGATTCCCTCCTCTTCCAATTCATAAACAAAATTCATTTCTCCATGCATCAGATATAACTTGTAGCGTTCCATTTGGATTACATATAAAAAATTTATTTTGAATGAAATAAAATTCGGGGCCCCAATGAAGTGGGGGGCCTGTAACAAGTTGCCCCAGCTGCCCAACCCCCCCATTCTGGATGACCCTGGTAAATAGTAACGTAAGCTTAATGAAAATACGAACCTTTAATAAAATGAAGGTAAGCAATTAAAAGAACTTTAAGAAACAATATCTGGAGTAAAATATTAAAGAATTACGAGTACAACAAAACCCAAAGTGACGGAACCAAGTGAAATGGAGAAACTGGCTCTACGTCTAGAAAATTGCTCTACGCATGTTGTATTTTTTTAGTGCGATGTTTACAAACGGTTTTTTTGTTTTCATTGGAATTTATCAATCCCATAGTGATTTATCTAATCAAAATAAAATATTCCAACATTTTCTATATTAGGAATCAATTTATCGATTGGCTTTCTAAAAACACTCGTGTTTCCGTGTTTCAAGGCAAACACTCGTGTTTCAAGGCAAGAAGAATTGTTGATCTACGGTGTTTGAAGAAAGAAAATTGTTCATATAGTGCTGATTTTTTTGTGTACCAGCAGTAAAAATTACCTTACGATACTTGTTGCAAGAAATCGTTCATAAATTGGCATTTTATGGCAGAGGTTATGAATTATCGAATAATTGCATCATTTCACTTTCAACCGATCGCAGCGAGTTAATCGTGGGGGTGACAATTAACATAAATTACTTGCATAATATACTATTGTGAATTCCCTACTTGAGGTGCCTAGAGTCGTTTCTTGACCCGCTTCTTTGCACGAGCGATTCCCTTCGCATTTGCTAAACGACGCGTATGCGTGTGTGTGTAGTGGTCGTTCGGCGTGCTGCTGTGGGAGCTGACGACGCTGGCGCAGCAGCCCTACGCGGAGGTGGACCCCTTCGAGATGGGCGCTTACCTGCGCGACGGATACCGCCTCGCGCAGCCCGTCAACTGCCCCGACGAGCTGTGAGTACTCCTTCCTACCCCTTCTAACACTAACCTACTCTCACACGATACCAATTTATTTCGAGTTCATCGCCGATCGCCGATCGCCACAAGAAAGTTGTGGTGCGTATCATCGGTGCACAAGAAAAATGATTCACCTCAAAATTCTTCGTTTTACGTCAAGCAAAGAACCATATTTAGAAAATAGTTTATTTTCAATTAAGTATTTTGTATAAAGATAGTTTGCAAGACAGTAGGTTCACATTAAAATTGACTTAGTCCCCAAAATAAACGACTCAGTTCAGGTTGAAACCGTTCTCTCGCAATGTTTGGTAAATAAAATATTTAATCCAGTAACATTCAAGTATTCTCGTGACATGCATCTTTCTAGTCGTATTTCTTGTATTATTTGTTCTTCACTAGAATCATGATGAGAGTTTAGCACTATCTGCAGTATTTTCACTGCATACCTCCAAATCACAAGCAGAGAAAAAACAGACCTTACTTGGTTTTCATTTGACGCTGTATGGGTTTGCCATAACGTATCAAATCAAAAATTAAAGTCCTTATAAATTCGAAATAAAATATGAAATAACTTAAAATTTTCCATAAAGTATATCAGTGACTCTCTGAAAAAACTCAAAACGAAATATTGATTTAATGCAATAACTACTGTAGGTAGAGTATGTTTTTTACTCTTCTGTAAAATTTGTCCAGTTGAATTTCGAAAGTTTTTGAAAGAAGCTCCTCATTCAGAATTGTGTATAACGAACGGTCAACTTTAACATGGTGATTGTTGTTGGAATAATCCTTTTTTGTTCCTGATTACCACTGACTGGTGAATGCGCGCGGTTGCAGGTTCGCGGTGATGGCGTACTGCTGGGCGGTGAACCCCGACGAGCGGCCGACGCTGTCGCAGCTGCTCATCTGCCTGCAAGAGTTCCACACGCAGCTCACGCGCTACGTATGAGCGCCGGCGCCACCTCGCCCGCCACGCCACGCCCCCGCGCCCGCCACGGACCGCCCGCGCCAAGTGCCTGTGCAACAAAACGGCGGCTGCGGCGGGCGCGGGCGCTTCTAGAAATCCACGGCCTACGCCGGCGCCCGCCCCGCCACGCCGCATGCCACTCGTCATGCCACGCCACGACCACGCCAGCGACGCACGCGCCCGGCGCCGCGCGCCTAACCCACCAGCCCACTGTGCGCCGACGTCCTCACCGCCACCGCACGCTCGGAGACCCTAACTGCGCCCATGAGCTCAAAATTCACTATGGAGCGTCCCCGCCGAGGGCCCTCGCTGTGGACCTGAGCGGTTGGGGGCTCCCAGCGGACCATGCACTCTGTCCGCCGCACACAATACCTTTCCTTCCGCTCCTTCTCCTCCCTTCCCCACGCGAGTTGCCAAGTCTCCGGACCCCACTCGCGTGAAAAACCACGCAGGAAAGACGCGCGGACGCGTTGCGTATACCGTGGAATCTGTTAGCTCGCGGCTGTGTCAGCGCCGCTTTCGCCTAAGGCCATAGCGAAACCTACGAGGAGCCACCACACACCCTACGAGCTCGGACATCCTAAATACCTTCTACGGGCGGATTCCAAGCGTCTCCTATGGGCCACACAAGCTCCTCCTATGGGAGCACAAGCCCTTCTTACGGGCCACCCAAGTTTCTAGTGGCATCCTAGCTCCTTCTAAGGGCAATCTCAAACTCTATGGGCATCCCAAGCTGCTTCTAAAGTCATCTCACGCCCCTCCTATGCGCATTCTACAGGCCCCCGCGCGGTGGTATAGTGCCTTCGCCAGCGCACCGATCGCCTCCGCCCCCGATCACACCCAGGAATCTCAGGAACCGTGGCAAGAGGCACTGACATTGTGGCATCGTGCTGCGACTGGGTAACTGAACTGTCGTTTTCGCCCACGTGTCTGAACTGGACTGGAAATGAGCAATTTGTGAAGAAAATGCCACAGAATCTGTTCATAACGTGTGTTCTAGCATTTGTACTTCATATGTAATGTGATTGTTTTCATACACTACAGTAAATTGTGACTTCTATTGTACTTTGATAAGAATGATGGATATCAGAAAATAGAAGAATGCTGTATGATAATGCTACCATAATATCAAAAGAATATTGTATTGTTGTAAAATATACATATTAAATAGAGTTCTTGTATTCTGTAAATTGCAAGCCTATCATTAAAAATGAATTTTTATAAAATATTTGAAAAATTATGATTTTTTCATTCCATTGCAACACCTTTCTACAAACCAAAAGTTGTCCTACCCCTAAATTCTCAGAGACGAAACTTGTTCCACGAGGTGAAAGATGTGTAGTTTACTCTATAATTTAATGAGACACGCATACAATTATATTTAGCACATTCAACAAAACCATCTATTAATGTGAAACATAATTCTTTAATATCCAGCGTAAATACGTTTAAATCTTTCGAACATTATTATATTATTTTCAGAGACTTGAAACGAGTATGCCAGATATTGATTTCAGGGTTATCATTAATTGAATATCTCTGATAGAACACTAAAGAATTCAAAACTTTAAAAAGCTTTACTGAAAAATAAATGTCACTAACACTTTCTTTAGTATACAAAATTTCCGATTTTTGTGGTTCATTTTTTATTTTGATTTTCTTAAATACTTTCAGCACAAAAGATATTGTAACTCAAGCTTAATTTTAGTATAGCTTGTTCCAAAACTTATTCACAGCAGTGAAAGCTTCGTCATCATTGACATCATCAAGATAATCAAGAAACAATAGTAAGTTAAAATGTCGTTTCAAAATTCTTATTGGATCATTGCTGACAGTGGTTGAGGAAATTATCAGTCTTGGTTCTGCATACCTCTGTGAGATGAACTCAGTGGCTGATATTTGTAATGAAATAGGTGAAGAAATTGCAAATGTTTCCTCAAATAAAAGAAGACTGATATCAGATGTGAAGGAAGTTTCTGAAAAAATCAAAGGGAGTTCGTGGAATAATCTGGCTTAACTGATAATTATTAATAACCTCTATCTCAAGTACTAGGGAACAGCCTTCCTGAAAATACATGATAGACTGTCATCTGAGCTAGGATTACTCTTTGCAGGGCCTCGGTGCGTCTTCTTCAGAGAAGCCTGTAATACCAAGTATTCCAAGGCTGATTTCAATACTTCAAGATGGAACAAGATTAAACATTTTTCTTCGCAAAAGTGTGGTGCCAAAAAATACTTTACAAATATTGATGCAACTTCCATCTTTCCAAGAAGATTTTTTATAGTAGTTAATTGAGTTATTATGGAGCTCAGTGGTCAACTCGGCAAGTCTCATCAAAATTACAACATTAAGTATTCTTTTACATTTATGTATCTGTTTTATAGATGCACATTAAGTTACAAGAAACAAGATCTAACATTGAGAAGTAGTTACATTAATTAAAAATACGTCGATTTAACATAATTGTGTGCTAATTTTTGAAAATATAATATAGGACACAAAAGACAAGCCAAGTCGTTGCATTCGCCAAACAGAAGGCCAGCTTTAGTCACCATGTAGCAAAATCTCAGTGACACAGTTTCGCAGCTCACATTTCGTCTTTCCACAGGCAAAATTCAGTTCTCACAACGCAACACATTTACAGTGTAAAACTCGCTGTGTTCGACTTCCCGGGCGTCCCCTCATATTTCACGCCGGTAAGGGAAGATGTGATGGTTAAACCGAATCACCGTCGTATCAGAGGTGGGGAGGGAGGAGGGAAGACAACCCCAACTTCGGCACTTGCTCGGGCGGGTCTGGTAGATTCCCGAGGTGAGTTCAGAGAGCCGTCCAGAACGGCCGCCGCCATTATTAAATGTATCATTAACATGTGGTCAAGCCGACTTTGAACGCCCACTGTCAACTTGGCAGTGCGGTGGCGGGACACCGGAGTTTTTTGAGCAGCGCAGGCAGATAGCGTTGTGCAGGAGGTTTTACGTGAATCCCTAGATGTAGATTCCTTTCTGTCACAGCTTATTTCATCGCATTTTATGTCCAGTTGAAACTATGCAGGTAATGCAGGTGAGTTTAGGAACTACCAAATTTTACGCAAAACAAAGGCCAGAAGTTTCCAGTGTTCTGCCACCGCACTATGTTGACGGTGAGCGTTTTCAAAGGTCTGGCTCGACCACATTTTAATGAAACATTTATTGGCTGCAGGTAGGGCGGAATTTAAAAAAATATATGCAATATATTTTTTTAAATTTTGTTTATTCTAATCGAGAAAATAATTGATAAAAAATTGACAGGGTAATGTAGTCAAAGGACTTGTCATTCATTATTTCTGTTTTTAAAAGTTTGTGCGATCTATAATCATACTTTGAAGGTCCTGCGTTTTAAATGTAGAGTTATGTGTAATTAATACTGAAAAACATACCTAGACAGAACTTTCAAAGACCATATTATAATTAAATGACTACTTATCCTATCAAATGAAAGTTCCGTCATGAAGATCATCACAAAAGGCACGACACCCCTCTAACCTCTGAATGTGGGATACAAAACACAACACTTTTCACAGAATAGAAATGCCTCATCCTACTTGCTCACTCGCGGACACCTTACACACCCTAACACATAGTGTTCCTGGAGACTACTTGTGATACATACAGGCATCCTTTTTATTTGAATTACACCCGATGTAGTATATAATTCGTTTTTCAACATTTCCCAAAGTAGATTCAATATTTTGTACACTTGTTTCCTATTCCTCTGAAGTTAATTTTCACCGTCGATGGCCACCAAGTGAAGTTCTTTCGTCTAACTCAAAAACTTCCACGTTATATTATTTTTTTTAAATCATTGAATATTGATAACAGTATAATATATGTACAGCAACTTTTTACTTACAAACTATTGCTCAAGTCAGAATATTACGTCTTTCTTGTGGTCTGGTATATTTTAAAACATTTTATTAGTTTAAATTGAAATAAGTATTAATTATTGTTGTAGAGTAAACATTGATTAGTAAAGCACCATTGTACTGAAACATCAGTACACCTCTCTTTACCTTATTTCTTCTCTTTCCATCTCCTTGCCTCTGGTCTTGACTTGTATAAGGTTATCTCTCGGTTTGGAGATGGTAGGATGAAAGAGAAGTAGGATATAAACCTGAACTTGCAAATGTGCGCAAGTATTTCCGTACGTATGTTTATAATAAGAGAAGTATTAGCGTTTTTACCTCGACTGTAGAGTGAGCTACAATCAAGCATCTTTTGATATCTGAACTTGAAAATCGACAGTAGCTTAGCTCTATTCTAGATGTCTCGGTGAATACTTGTTCTATATTTGTTGAGTTCCACATTTTTACAATAATAGTTCGTCAACCATTAAATAGACCCTAACTGACAACGTGTTGCAATTGGCTCATTTAAACGAAATAAAGTTAAATCAGAAGGACCATTCTGTTTGAGGTTCGTTAAAAATCCTAACGGATTTCCAATAAACCTAGAAACTTGTAACCGAGTTTAGTGCGTTTGTACATAAGGCCTGATTTTTAGGCAACCCGATGGGCAGAGATGTTTGGCGGATAACGTTCAGATTTATTCAAGGAGATTCCATGCTTTTGCCTAACATCTGAACATATGGTGTTGCCATTGAAGGCAATTTCCTACTATATATATATATATATATATATATATATATATATATATATATATATATATATATTCGAAACAAGTGATTATTTTGGTCGCTATACATACCCTAGAAGTGTGTAATATTTATTCTAAGATATTTTGTATGCGAATTAATGTAGTCCTAAGTGGTATAAAGTTATGCATTGCTGCGAAAAATATATTCACAAATTTTAAAGGAAATACACGTTTTGGAATTCTCTCATATGAAAAATTGCCTGTTTTTTCTTCGGTCAAAACGTCTGTCCGCTTGTGAGCAACTTAATGCTCTTTGAGATCATAATGCGGTGCACAAATGTTTACAATTTCGAGAATATGTACTCTATAAATCACTTGGACATGGCTTACCGGGTAGCGGGTCACGGACTTCTTCCGAGCAGCAGTTGTCACTTGGAAGGCCGCCACTGATGGAATTACTTGGGACCCATCATTAGGAGGCTGCATCAAGACAAGAGAGAAGACATCAGCCCGTGTAGGTAACGGAGGCAGAGGTAAGCAAAACATTGCATAGTCGACCCTGACCAGGTCGTCTCCTGGGTAGCATGAGCGCACGCGCTAGCTTACACCTCTGCGCCACAACTGCCAGAAAATATCGTAATATCTGTGGTGTCTGAGCATAACTTGCTGCCTACACTTTATCAATGCATTTACCAACTTATGTCCAGAGACCATACATATCAGATAATAAAATACATGGCAATTTCTCTAGCAGAATAATGAATTAAAAGAGATCTTAGAGACATACGTACTAAACAGAAATAATAATAATATTAGCGATTGGTAACATAAAAATAGGTAGTACCAACTCATCAGTCTATGCACTTCCCAAAGTACATAAAACTCCATAACATCAATCATTTCGAACACGCATTTTATGTCAGTTTCTGTAAAAATATTCTCTTTGAAATTTTAAAACACTAGAAAACATTCGAATTCCTAATCCCTATATAGTAATTGAGTAACTTCCGAGTGTGAAGAGGTGCACTTCTGTCACTCACTCAGGCGAAATATAAATAAATATATTATATTCGCCTTTAGAACACCAATTAGAGAGTTATTAGTTTAATTAGTTTTAAAATAATAAATAATTAGGGGACAAAAATATGATAAGTGTTAAGCAACTCAGGGGAAACAAACGTAGTTTAAGATTTTGCGACCGAATTTTTCGAACTAATTCTTACGATCTTAAATTAGCATTAGAGAATAACAGAGAAAAACAGTTTACAGGTGAATATTTAGGTTCATATTAGAAAACAAAACGTAAAAATTATAGCTGTACTAAATTCTAACTATTCACATCTCTCATACCTCCAAATATTTTTTACGTTGGTCATAATTTTGAAACTGCAATATTGCTAGTTCATATCCCGTACAGAGGCAATATACAAAGCCAATGGGTGTGGGGAATTTGGAACGGGAGTATAACGTTAACAGCTGATTCGATTCATTGGTAAGTCCAATAAATGTAAGAAAACTGTAAGAACATATTTGAACAAATCAAGGCACGAAAGAAATTTTGAACACATGAAAATTCTTTTAAAAGCGTTTACAGCGTCGGAGATGTCATATTCAACTAGTGATCACATATTTCCTTAGATGTGACTGCTCTTTTCACTAGCATATCAACAACCTAAATATTTATTGCATTAAATATAGAAAGCAGTGTATTTCACCAAATTATATTATTCCCATTAATGATTAATGGGAAGTAATTAAGTAATGGGAGTAATTAAATGAAAGTTAATCACATCAACCTCGTTCTTACCTTCAGAAATATTATAATTAGTATTATAACTATAAACAAATTTTTGATACTCCTATGAGATTTTCCCTGCAGCCTATTTTTGCTGAGATGTATTGACCAGTATTGCTAGTCTGAGAACACTTCTCTTAAATCTTTAGTCATGTAATACACACATGTTTTAGGTGTGTTAATTTTTTTGTATTATCCCCTGCAATTAAATTATCTGCATTCAAAAATTTTCAAACCTCACATTTACTCATCAAATCGAAATAAATAATAAAGTTATGAAACACTACGATATTTAAAAAAAAAAGTATTGTGTCAATAATAAAAGGTACAGAAACTACCTATATGCATATTTGTGTCATATAAGAAAAAAATAAAAGTTAAATAAAACTAACATTTATGTCATGGTGATCAGTTCTCTAGTTCTATCAGTTCATATATGTCTTGGTGTTCAATTCTATAGCATTTATTCAAGGATGAAGAGGAAATGTAGGTAATATGAAGTATCTTCAGGCAAGTCCGACTCATTTCCGGCGTTCTA